AGGCTGTTGATAAAAGCCCAGGAGGTGGTTGGACAGCAGCAGTTCCTGGGAGCAGAGGGTGTTTGTGATCAGCGCCAGAGGAGCTGAGCCCAGGGGCTGCTCCTCAAGGCTGAGGCCTCCCAAGCACGGATCAGAGCCCAGTGCGGGCTGGAAAGGGGGTGGGGGATGCACCAGCACAGGGAGGGTGATCCTGTGGGGATTTATTGATCAGGTCCCTCAAGGAATCCCTCAGCCATTGTCCAGGGGTCTCTCAGCAGTGCAGTGGAAGGGATCAACAGACTCCGGCCTCTGTGTCCATGGCAGGATCATCACTGTGGGCAGTGTCTTCTTCTGGCTCCTCAAACACTCTCTGGAGGGAGAGCCGGATGGACCCCACAGAGCAGGGCCTCCAGCACCTCCCCACCAAAAAATAGATGAAGGGTTTGATGCTGCTGTTGATGCAGATGAGCAGGAAAAATACCTGAGAGGGCACACTGAGGTAACCGAGCTGCTGCAGGAAATTCCAGCCGATGAGAAGGAAAGTGAGGAGCACAATGAGGACGATAACAATGTCGCGCCTCTTGATTTGCTGCTGCTGGGAGCCCCACTTGGCCTTAATGAAGTCGACTGTGGGAGAAATGACCATGGGTGCAGCAAAGAGGAGCAGTATGATGGCGTGCATGGAGATGAAAGCTGCCTGGCAATGCTCATGCTCGTGTGATGGGCACAGGTGTGTCACTGCAGGCATGACAGCGAAGAGAGCAAAGAAGGCCCAGTGGTAGACACTGCCCAGCACCCACGTCAGGCGCAGGGGAAGTTCACAGTGGCAGCAGGGCTGGAAGAGCTTGTCCATATAGAACAAATGGTTCCTGGGCGTCAGCCAGTACAGCCCCCAGTAGGAGGAGGTCACTGAGAGCTGGAAAAGAAAATTCAGGTACAGCAGAGGTACAACAGGAGAGCAGGACATGTCCTCCACCAGGGAGAGCAGGGCAGAGGGCACTGTGAGGAGAAGGAGGAGGAAGTCAATGAGAGCCACCTCAATGATGTCAGAGTTGCGGATATTCAGTTGGAGGAGGCAGAGCACAGCCCCGTTCCCGGCCAGCCCACAGAGGCAGACAGGCAGCGTCACACTGTGTATGGCCACGCTGGTGACATCTGTTTCACAGAGATCATCTCCTTCAGTGGGTGAGATGGTAGGCGGGGACACGGTGCTCACCTCCATGGATGGACGCTGGGCAGGCGGTGGGATGTGGCCCTGGCTGTGGTCAGAGTGGATGGGGAGTCAGTGCTTGGAGAATCCAG